ACGGACCTCTAAATGCTGGTTCAGAAAACCCCCTTTTATTAACACCAGGTAGGTTTAAATACACTGCAGCCAATGGCCAACAGGTGATAATCCCATCCTCTGATCCTCTAAACTAGGCACTGTTTCTAGTAACTTTAATTAGAAGATTCTAGGAAGGAAGAGCAGCTGAAGGCCAGAACTCATTGGTCCCCAGCTCTCCTGGTGCCTCTCTTCTCTAGCCTCAGGCAATGATTACTCAGCATGTGTTCATTTCCACAAATGGCTAAGGCTTCCACAATGACTCTCCTGCCTTTACTTATCCTGTACCTCGGCCCTTGTCTGACAGTGACCAACAGGTCTGGCTACAAACATTACCCCAACCTCAGACAAAACCTGATTCTCATGGTAAGTCTGAGGTCCAGCCTTAAACCCTAATCCAAACCTGGCCACCTTCTCCTCTATCCCTACTTAGGATCTGTGGGGTGCATTTGCATAGACCCCAGAATGCATGGAAGATAATTCTTTACATCAAACTGGGACCCTGTTTCCAGGAAGTCTCCAGGCAGCCACAAGTTGAGGAAAGCATCACAAGCAAGGCAGTGTGCACGTGAGTGGTGACCCGGGGAAGACAGGTGAAGGAGCCTGCTTCAGGCACCAAGGGCACATCCCACGGTCCCCACCTAACACTGCCACCACACCCCCCTGCCTGGTCCACCCTGTTGGCACCTTCTTGGGTCTGATAAGATCACACAGCTTTCTGGTGTCCAAGAGTGAGGACCACTGGCCAGACTGGTCTGTGCCCGGCATGAAGTCCACATATCGGAAGGTGATACAATGCCTCCTAATCATGTTTGATGACAGTGTGCTCTTAGTGACCACAGTGCACACGATGCCACCTCGATCTGTATGGGCTCCATGGAGCCATACAAGGACTCCCCTGTGGCACCTGCACTTCAGATTCAAGTCCCTGTCATGAAGTGGGCAGAGATATCTGGGCACAAATTCCAAGGATCAACACGGGATGTTCTTTTTGCCCAAATCCCACAGAAACCCGCCTTGGTTACACATGGATCTCAAGGGATGAATGAGACCAAATGTGTGGCAAGATTCTTAGCCTTTACTTGGATTTCCAGGGCTGGGTTGTCTTGAGGTTGTCAAAGCCAAAACACTCTCACTGCCCACTGTACCCAGTGTTTTGTCTGTCCATGTTCTCTTTCCGAGTAAGAAGAACTTCCAAAGAGTGCCAGTTATGTGAAAGCTCCGGAGTGGCCAGAACTTCAGAGCACACGTAAGACACAGTTACCTTGTGGTCGACCTAGCCAATAGTCTGGGCTGCCACTTTTTTGCCATCCGGTCAAAGGGCCGGTCACCTGTGCTGTCTTTCAGATGGCTCCAGTCCTGGGAGATCACTGGACCCTCTTACGGACAGCCCAGCCTCTGACCCTTTCTCCCTATACCTCCAGCGTATGCCCACATGTGTTAAATCCTTCCCACTCCATCTCATCAATATTTCCACTTGCTTCTCTAACCACTATGTTCTCCTTCCCGTTTCCTTCCCCTTGGGGAAGGCCCACAGGACATGTCAGGTAAGAAACATTCAAAAGCCCCTTTCCTCCTGCACCTTAATCTAACCGCCTCTTCCCTTCCTTTGTGCCAGTTTTGTCTTTTTGGTTAGATCCCATCAATACCCCACAGCCTCCATTCCTTTTAGAGGATTTCACGTCATCCGGAGATGACAAAGGAAATCATTCTGATGGCTTGAAACTAGAATAGGCTTGCCATTCCTTTTATTGGAAGAAATCACTGGGGTCTGTTACTTCAGAAAAACACAGAGCAGGGTTATTGGTGCTTTTTCTTAATGATAAAATGCTACCCTATAATGAAAAAACAAAGGCCAGAGAAAAGAGGAGCCTCCTGGGCTGTGGGCTTTGGGCTGCCCATAACCTCACGTCAGCTCTTAGAAAGACCCCAGAGGAGAACGTGGCACATGGGCAGGAGGCTGACTCACTAGGGTGACATCACTGGGGTGACATCAACATGGCAAGGGTCTGCAGGAATGACGGGAGGCTGGCCAGGAACAATCTTCCAACAGTAAGGCTGCCTACGCCTCCCAGTCATGGGAGCAATCAGGTTCCTAACCCCACAAATGACAACCCACCTTCCCTAGTCAGAGCCCTTCCAGTGCTGGGTGGACCAGGGAGAGGATCAGACCTGCACGGGAGGTTGCAGACCTCAAGAAACCACCTGATGCATAAATGTCCCCCTTCTATCTCCAGGAATCATGGGTTCTATCTAGGCCTGCCTGCCGCTGGCTGGGTCGGGTGTCTTCAGCTGGCCTCACACCTCCATCCATCGCACCTGGTACCTAGCTGGATTGAGGAAACACAAAAGGACGTGGGCAACTTGTCGCAGCTCGGAGTCTGCCCAGCCTCCTTCCCTGTAAGAACGGCGATCTGTCTTCCCCCTCAATTTCCCATCTCGGGTGTCTCTCTGAGATAAACACCCTTCACAATGAGACAAGACTAGGAAGCAGGTCTTTGCTGAAGATGGATGGTTTTGTTAAGGTTTATAGCTCTGACAAACCACACTGCCCCTTGTGACAGGCGAACAGAGGGCCACACTGTAAATAAAGGTGTCATCATTGGAACCATCAGGAAGCTGAGGTTTCTAAGACGAGACACAGACAAATCAGCCTGGCTGCAGAAGGCATTTGAGCAATTAAGTAGTGGGGATCATCAAACGAGCAGTTTTCAAAATTATTGAAAGGTACATATATCTCAGGAGAGTGAGAAACTCAGAGTTACCTGATTAGGAGGCTCTTCATTTCCACTCGTTTCTCTTCTGGGTCTGGTAGCAGAAATCCCAAATGCCTGGGGCTCCCGGGGAGCTCATGGTCATGAGTCTGCAGTACAGGTGAGGAGGGGCAGCTCGGCAGAGCTGCTTTCATATAGTCAAAGTACAGTCATCAGCCTTCCTCCACCAGGACACACATCCCAGTTCCATGGAAGGTGGGAGTGTGTGCTTGCTTCAGGAGCTGACCTGTGAAGATAAGGCTTTCTCTCTACAGAGCTCAGGGAATGGGAGGGAATTTAAAATGTTCCGCATGGTAACCTGCCCGGCGTGGGCCTCTGGAACACAGGCTGTGACTGACTGTTTAATGTAGTTTCTGTCTTCATCAGCAAGACCACAGAAGCCGAAGTTGAAGTCCAAGTACTTCCAAGCAGGCATCAAAGAGTATATGAGCATATGGATAGTGATGCAGCCCCAGGGAAGAGTATTTGTGCCGTGGATGTGAGCCTGAGTTCTGCCCTAAGACGAGAGAGAGAGAGAGAGAGAGAGAGAGAGAGAGACGTTGCTGTGTAAAAAAAAAAAAAAGTGTATGTTTAGGTAGCACGGGTTCACAAAGGGCTTATGCTGTAAATCAGTCTGACAAACGACCCCTAAAATTTACAAAACTTTGTGTTTCATTTTGTCAATTTATAAAATAAATAAGCCAACAAATTTGAGTTTCCTCTGAAATTTGTAAGTATTGGTATTTGTTAAGTTTTAGTCCTTCGACTACGGGTTCTATATTTATTTTTAAAGAGTTTATTTGGGCTCATGTTTCCAGAGGGGGATCCATCATGATGGAGGAGGCCACAGGCAGGAATGTGGCTCACATCCTCACAGACACAGGAGCACACGGCTGACGGTTCACATCCTCACAGACAGACACAGGAGCACACGGCTGACGGCTCACATCCTCACAGACACAGGAGCACATGGCTGACGGCTCACATCCTCACAGACGGACACAGGAGCACACGGCTGACGGCTCACATCCTCACAGACGGACACAGGAGCACACAGTTGACGGCTCACATCCTCACAGACACAGGAGCAGGGGAGGCCTCCAGTATGTTGTTGTCTGCTGTAACCAGAACACAGAAAGCAAACTTTCCACAGTCAGATAACTACAGACAGGCTGTTACTTAGCATGATTCGTAGTCCTCTGGGCTGGTGGGTTTTTGTCAGTTGACACAAACCTAAACACATCCTGGGAGAGAGAATTTCCACTGAGAAAATGCCTTCGCGAGACAGGCCTGTGTCTTGATGTGAGAGGGCCCAGCTCCCTGTGGAGGTGCCAGTCCTGGGCAAGTGCTCCTGAATGGTATAAAAAGGCAGGCTGGGGAACAAACCAGTATGGAGTCCGTCATGGCCTCTGCATCAGCTCCTGCCTTGAGTAGACGCCCTGACTTCCCTCAGTAACAGACAATATAACCTGTAACATGAAATAAAGCCCCCCCAACAAGTGGTTTTCTGCCATGGTGTTTAGACAGCAGGGCATCCAACACAACCCTGCGTGCGGGGATGGGTCTCCTGCAGGCATGGTAAGCCAGGCTTCCAGATCTAGGACACTGGTAAGTTATGTCTGCAGCCCACAGGAAAACGCAGATACCTTTCATACAAAAGATTCAGTTGAACAAATCAAACTTGCTCAGGGGAATACATGCAGTCACAAAAGGGGGGACCTTTACCAAATGATCTGGAAGGTTGAATTATTAGGGTAAAAAATGTAAAGGAACCACAGCATGGACTGTACGCTGCCATCTGTGGAAGGAGAGAGACTCACGCACAAACATCATGCAGGCCAGTGGCCCTCCTCAGGGAGACATTTTTTGTTGACGCATCTTAGAAAGTGAGGGAAGGATACTAGCACCCCGCATAGGTATTTGGGGACACACACAAAACTCAGCAAGCGTTCCAGTGAATTCTACAAAGGATGAAGAGACCCGAACACAGCTACATGGCTCACCCTGATTCTTCAGGCTGCCGGCTGAGCTTCAACCCTCCACTCTCTCCTTTGCACGCTGACCACAAGAGCCTGGGAACAGTCCACAGCGGGACTTCAACGATTCCACGCTCTGCTAGGAAAAGTGCTTGTCTGCCTTCCACTCTCTACCACACTGCCCCCTCCCTTACTGGCAAACAGCCGCTTCTGTGACCTGAAGGATTTCCAAATGTCACAATGAACAGTGACTGAGTTACTTACCCTCCACTAAAGCATTAGCACCCTCCACATTCAGAGTTGGGCCTGGGGTCTACCAGGCGGATGACACTCAGCCTTTGCCCCGGGACCTCAGAGATTTGTGATAGAGATGGTTCTTTAAGCGGACTCTGAGAAACCAAGTGGTGAGCGCAGCGACAGGCGCTGTCATGGGGCGGTGGGAAATGCGCCTCGTTGTGCTTGTCAGGAAGAAGACTGATTGACGGACAATACAGAAAGAGGAAGGAGCGCAAGGCTATACGGTGACAGACAGGTGACAATGTTTGGGTAGTTCCTACCACTAGGTGTGGGGACACACTTCCGTCTCTTCTGAGGCTGTTTCAGAAAGTAGGATCCAGCTAGCACAGCTGAGCCTCTTCTCTACGACCACAAAGAGCCCTACCCTCTCTCTGTCTTCTTCTGCACCTCAGTCCGTCCCATCCCAGGCTCCTATAGATACTTAGCCCTGACTCTGGCCCATTCCCCATTGCCTGGGGTCCTCTTTCCTCCACCTTCACATGTCCCTCATGGAGGGTCTCCAGCCTAGCAACAAGAGAAACTACAAAGCCGGGGGAGAAAGGTTGGAGAGCTTCCTCTGGTGTGTTTCAGAACTGGAGCTCACGAACCAAAACTGAATGATGAGAATAAGTGAAAAGTCAGACTGGGTTCCAGCCTGCTCTGCCGAGGATGACCTCTTCCTGCCACAGCAGCCTTGAGGACACCATCCACCCAACCAAGGAGTCCCTAAGCAGGTACAGGCTCTGGAGACCAGCCATGAAGCTTGGGATCCCAGCATTAAGCAGACTGTTTCTCTTCCTCCTGCTTGTCTCCCCATCCTCCTACTTTTCTTGAGACAGGTTCCCTGTGCACCCCAGGCTAATGTGTAGCTGTCCGTCTGTGCTTTCCAAATGCTGAGGTTGTGGAGATGTGCCATGACATTTTAAATTAATTAACATTTGTATCCTGGACATTGAATCTAAGACCCCATGCATGCTAGGTATATACACTTCTACCACAGAACCACATCCCCAGCTCCTGCAAAGCTCCCTGCATGGGGTTTTTACTGCTTCTGATTCTGCCCTCGCCTACCCTACCACCCTCCAGACAATGTCCTCTCTTCCTCGTTTCTTCTTCACGCACTAGCTCATGTTTCAGACTTCCGGGGCTTTCACAGGCACACTGCAGTGTGTGGATGACACACAGGCCTAAGCCTGAGCCCTGCCGGTGTCTGCAGACTTGTCTACTAACTCCTTTAGCCTCTTGTGAGTCCCTGCTGCACAGATTTTTCCCCCCTGTAGAAAATACATCCCCGGCTTTATCTCCTGTGAGGATAGACTCAGACTGTGCAATCACAGCAGGGTTTTCTCCCGCTTCCCATCAGCACATTTCTTCCTATGGCGGGGGGTGTCCCTTCAGCATGAGTTAGAGCCTGTCCTCAAGTCTGCAAACTCCCCAAGTCCCCCAGGACAGAGGCTACCAGCTCCACATGTGGAGTCTGTATTTATTGCTATCATCCAAATCTAGCGCTCAGCAGGGTGATGTTTCCTCTATCTGTTCGGGCGCAGCTTGGATGGCTCACATAGCTGTAGTCCACCTGGAGAAAGGCCCGAGGCTAAGTGAAACAAGCTGGCTCCTTACGAGTACCCCGGTTGGCGTGGGCTTCTGTATGGAGGCATGGAGGCACAGGCTTCTGACAAGGTAGAGAAAAGCTCAAAGGCTCTATGGCCCAGATACCACCATTCACGCCGTGTCACTCAAACAGGGCCACTTGTTAGTGGTGGAGGCCACACAGAAGGCCAGCCAGAGTCAGATGTGGGCATGTACTTAGCACAGAGGAACTCTGAGAATCCGGGGGCTGCTTTCATTCCGCCTATGAAATGGTCAGAATTTCTTTTCTCTTTAAAATGTCCACTTTCTGTTATTGTTATTAGTAGCTTTTCTGTTCTCCTAAATGGATACTTTTCTGGGTAAGGAGGTGAGAGATTCTTCTACTTAGGTATAATCAGAACATTGGGCAGCAAACTAAAGCGGTTGATGCGGGAGTCTTTGGACTAAGAGTAAACCTTAACATATATTTGTATAAAAATCTGGAGTGTACCAGATGGTGGCGGCACATACTTTTAATCCAGCACTCAGGAGGCAGAGGTAAGTGGATCTCTGTGAGTTCAAGGCCAGCCTGGTCTACAGAGGGAGTTCTAGGACAGTCAGGGCTACATAAAGAAATCTTGTCTTGAGTGAAAAAGAATTTGGAGTGCTGAGATAAAGAGTTGGTTCAGACATGGTTAACCTGGCTAATATAGACTAATAGGAAAAACAACATAAGAATAAAATGGCAAAACTTGCGAGTGTCACCACGTCCACAAAGTTCAGGAGATGTTTGGAAGTGGCACCAGTGACCCTACTTCCGTTGTCATTCTATCCGACCTTTGACCTTTGACTTTGACCTTCCCCTTTTTTTCCTTTTCAGGGGCTTGGCGATTCAGATCCTCACACAATGTCCCTCCCGGAACATCCCAGTCAGACAGTTGGCAGCAGGGCGCCAGCGCATCACCAATGTTCGGTATGAACTTGACATCCCCGAGACTGACCACAGGCAACTTGTAGTAAAGACCGTGGCTGTACACAGATGTGCCTGGGTGTCACCTGAAGTGCCGGAGGTTCACTTCAGGGACTTCATTTAAAAAGAACAAAAAGAACAACACTTTATGTGCACGCGTGCTTTGCCTTCTGTGCACCATGTGTGTGCCTGGTGTCCACAGAGGCCAGAAGAGGACATCAGATCCTCTGGAACTGGAGTTATAGACCGTGTGGGTGCTGGGAACCAATATGGGTCCTTTGGAAGAGTGGCCAGTGATCTTAACCACTGAGCCACCTCTCCAGCTGGCTCATGCCTTTGAGATTAAAGGCATGAGACATCCCCACCTAGCTAAGGATGTGTCTTAAATTTATCTCTTGAATGATGAACCTGGCATTCTGTCTGTTTCCAATGACACATTCTGCTACTGATGTGGTTTACTGAGGCAAGGACACCTTGCAGAGATGAATGCTTCTGTGGGGAGAAGTGATTACGTTTTCATTGATCTCTTGGTTTCCACGCCCTCTCCCCTCACAGCTGCCAGACTTGTACGCATCAGCTGAGAATTTTAATAAGGAGAGCAAGAAATCAAATTTCCAAAAACTCTGCGCCACCTCCTTTGAGGAAGCTCGGCGACTCCTCGGAAAAAAACTGAGTGCCGAGAGAAAAGATGAGCCCCACCCTGCGGCACAGACCCGGGTTGGCAGCAAGGAGCAGAAGATCGCGTCCATGGCAGATCTACTTCACCACAGCCTGCTGATGGGCTCCCTCGTCCCTCTGGAGCAGTTATCCAGGACCCAGCATAGACTGATCCAGGCGGGCATCCCTCCTCCGGTGCACACGTTTCCGTACGGTTTCAGGACCGATGAGCCGATGGTTACTCCCACGGTCCCTTTTAGAAAGAGGCTTCCAAGCCACACGTTCCGCAAACTTCTCCTGGCTTCTGTTACCCCGGACAGGCTGGTGTTTAAAGATAAATCGATGCGATTCTTCTCCTCGGAGCCGGGTAATGTAAAGAGGCTCACCTGGTGGGTGGGGGGAAGGATACAAATCTTGCTGAGAATCTAGGTCGATTTCCAGACAAACGCTCAAGCACTGACCTGTGAATATCTTGCCTATTCTAGGGTTCATAGCTTATGCTGTTGCTGCCTATGGTGACAATAACATAAAGGAAAGGGTTTTAAAAACTTCCATCTGTGCCGGGTGGTGGTGTCACACACCTTTATTCCAGCACTCGTTAGGCAGAGACAGGCAGGTCTCTGTGAGTTTGAGGTCTACAAGAACTAGTTCCAGGACAACTAGGGCTGTTACACAGAGAAACTCTGTCTCAAAAAACAACAAGTAAGTAAATATATATATATTTAAAAAATCCCATCCTGTGAACGGTACACACCTACTACAGGGGCTAAGGTGGGAGGATTAGTTTGAAGCTAACATGGGTGATTTCACTAGATCCAGCCAAAATTAAACGGTGGGGGGTTGGGGGTTAACGGAGACAGCAGGAGCAGTTACTCAGGGCAGAACACTTGTCTAGCATGTTCAAGGTTTTGAGTCCAACCCTAAGAATGACAAAATAATAGAATAAGAGAATCTAGGGCCAAGACTCACATCCATCTGTGAGAGGGGGTGGTGTGAGCAGGGTGATGTGTGAGCCCTGATGAACCTCGTCAGCTCCGGAAACACCTGCCACTACTTGTTTTCTGCATCCTGGGCTTGTTAGAGTCTTATCCTTCACAGTTTCCTTGATTTTATTGCCTTTCACAGTTGGTGGCATTGAAGGGCCCCCCCATACTTAAAAGACCCCCATGTCCACATACTATGTTAAACTCTGCTGAAACTTAACTGAGCCATAGAAAGAAAAAGCCCCCAGGCTCAGCTAATGACTCTGCGAAATTTTGCTGGACCATAGAAGGAATCGTCCCCCCCCCGCCCCTCCCCCAGCCGATGCTAAAACATCTATGGGTTGCAGACTCACTGACTAGGCTGAGGAGAGGGAGTACCCCACCCCCAAGGCATTCTATCAAGACTGTCAACTTGCTGCAGGGTTCTCTATCTAGCTTTGTGGATTTTCGGGGAAATTCAAGAATAGACATGGGTCCATTCCCGGGGTGAGCTAAGCCCGCCAATTTGAGAACCAATGAAATGCTTGTTGCTATGCAGCCTCTTATGTAACTCTTAAATCCCTATAAATCCCTATAAATACATAATGTGCCTTCAGCCCGGCATGCTCAGTCAGCTACGCTGCTGAAGCATCCGTAGGCGCCTGTGTATTCAATAAACTGCCTCTTGCTCTTGCATCCAGTGGACTGGTTCTTGGACAGAGGGCTCCAAGTGAGATCCCCTGACATTTGGGGTCTTTCATCATGTGTGCATGCATGTATGCGTGAGTGCGTATGTGTGTGTGTGTGTGTGTGTGTGTGTGTGTGTGTGCCTGTGTATTCCCTAAACCTTTCCAGATTGTTTTATCTCTTTCAAAGAGGATCACTGGCAGGAAGAACTTTGTTTCTGCTTTTTCACTAGTTTCCCGTAGGATACCAGAGACCACATGAGGAACTAAATAGTATGTACAACAGGAGGCATTCAGTTCTGGGGTAATGTGGGATGTTCTTCTGTATATGAGTTGCTTATTAGGGATTTATTCAGTCTGTGGAGTGTGCTGATGTGTGATTCTTTGATTCTCTCTAGGCAAGCAGTTTCTGGACCTCGTGGACCTGGAGTGGCGGTATTTCAGTGGACTTGCAAAGTGGGGGCGCATTCCAAGGAAGTTCTCATTCATGGACATAAAATACAACACCGAGAAGAGATTTGTTGAGAGCCAAGGCATGCCTGGTCTGATTTTTCCTCCTCTAGTTCGTAAGACTTTGGTGATTTATCCTCAGCTTGACTATCATGAAGAGGGATATTATTCTCTTAAATGGAATGCATAGTACACTGACAGTACTTCTGGACGTGGATTGTTGAATTTGAGAACATTAAATTTATACAGGAGACAGAAATTCATCGGATCCATTTTTCTACACACCATCTGTGCAAAGCTTAAATCCAACTATTCACATGGAGGAAAATGCCCACCTGACCTGCTAACGATAGCCCTGGTTCACATTTATGACACTCATCTGAGTCAGGAATGGAGATTCGAGAATAAGTTTCCAGCAAGAGCCAATCTTTACAAAGTTCACCTGACAGCACGTCTCCACGCTGAACCCCATCCCACTCCTCCCACAGGTAAGTGCGTGGTGATTCCATCCCATAAAAGAGTTGAACAACACAATGAGTAAAAGAGTGAAAAATGGGTACGGAGATCAACGGGAGGAGGACTCCAAAATAAAGTCTACTACTCAGAGGTAGGGAGGAAGGGGCACCCATAAAACAAGAACAGGGTGATGTGAAAAAGGAACAAGTTGGAAATCTTGGAAATGAAAAATAAACCATTGAAATAGTGACACGAACTCCCATGCCACCCCCCAAACCCGGGTACGTCTCAAGAGACAGGCTAGTAGTCTGGAAAGCGGTACTGAGAAGCTTCTAGATATAAATCAAAATGGAAGCTATGAAAGATCCTCTACAGCAATCAGATAAGGCAGAAGACATCAAGAACAGAAAAGAGCTGACTTTAACTCAGCATCAAGCATTTCGTTTAAGATGTAAAGAGAAGATTTGAAGAGGAGACTTGGTGGGCAGGGGAGAGGGGGCACTTGTCCGGTAAGGATGAGGCACAGGGTTTAATCCCTAGCAGCAAAAAGGTGAAAATAATAGAAGGACACAATTATTCAGAAGTGAAGAAATACATGAGACTTCATATAGAAAACCTTTGTTACGTCACTAGCAAGAAATTAGGAATAAATACCACCCCGGCAACAGGGCAGCAAAACTGCAGCACATTAAACAGTAGAGGAAACAGAATCTTATAAAGAAGAATGGATTTCACTAAAATAAGTAAATGATGGTGGCATTTAACTAGCAATAAACATTGGAGGGCAAAGGTCACCTACTGCAAAGACTGAGGGAAGTCAACCACCAAGCAGCCAAACTCTTCAAAGAGCTGGAAGTTCAATAAATGTATTTAAATATATGAGAGCCTTAGAGTGTTTACTGTCTGCAACCCATTCAGAATAAAACAAAACAAACTCTATTAAAACAAGGATAGTAAGAACCCAGAAGAACCAGGTGGCGGCGGCAGCGTTTAATCTCAGCACTTGGGAGGCAGAGACAGGTGGATCTTTGTGAGTTCGAGGCCAGCCTGGCCAACAGACTGAGTTCCAGGACAGCCAGGACTGTTACACAGAGAAACCCTGTCTCAAAAAACAAAACCAAGAAGAGCCCAGAAGAAATGCAGGAAGTGCAAACGAATAGGTGAAGACTTCATTCTGTATGTACACATGACTTTATACATATTATGTTCATATCTGTTAGTACAAACGAATGGGTGAAGAATTCATTCTGTATGTACACATGACTTTATACATATTATGTTCATATCTGTTAGTACAAACAAATGGGTGAAGACTTCATTCTGTATGTACACATGACTTTGTACATATTATGTTCATATCTGTTAGTACAAACAAATGGATGAAGACTTCATTCTGTATGTATACATGACTTTGTACATATTATGTTCATATCTGTTAGTACAAACGAATGGGTGAAGACTTCATTCTGTATGTACACATGACTTTGTACATATTATGTTCATATCTGTTAGTACGTATCCTAGAATCGAATTAGAATGTGCTTAGGCTGAGAATGGTAGCACCCGCCTGCACACCCAGCACTCAAGGTCACAGGAACAAGACAAGCATAGTGAAAGGTTGGGTTTTAGAGCAGGGTTGCATTTGCACACCACTGTAGTCCCAGAACTAAGAGACAGAGGCAGCCTGAATTTTTGAGTCCGAGGTCAGCCTGGTCTATGTGGTGAGTTCCAGGACAGCCAGAGCTACCTAGTGAGAGCCTGCGTCAGCAAGGACAATGAGAGCAAGCAGGGTTCTCTGTGTAATTGCTACTCCCCAGCCCTACCCTCACCTTCCTTCCCTTTCCTCTTTCCTTATCTTTCCTGGTGAGGCCTGTTGCAGCCCTGGCTGGCCTGGCATTTGTTACGTGGCCCAGACAGACTGTCAGCCTACATCAGTTCTCTTGCTTCCGAGTTTCAGCTGTGAGAAATACAGGTGTGCGCCACCGTGCTTGGCTGAATTCATCTTTCATTTTCCACGTTTGTGTCATTTTTGTTTTGTTTCATCGTTTTGCCTTCATGCCTTTGATTTTCTTTTTTACTTTTGGAGGCAGAATCTAACTGTAGCTCAAACTTGATGTGAACCCCTCCTGCCTCAGGTTTTACACACATTCATTTTTAAAACAGATCTTAGTGTCGAAAGCTTTACTGTCTGTAAACATGATTTCTGGGTTGTCACAAGAACACTGTGACAACAACAAACACATCCGTGTGCGCTTATGTATTCAGTATGCAAAATGTCCTGAAGCTAAAAATTCGCAGTTACAACTTTTTCCATGAATGTTGTAGTTCCAGAGGTTTTGGTCATGCTAAGGTTATGAGATGAACTGGCAAGTTTTCCAAGACCGTAAGCTTTTGAACAATAAAATTCCAGCTAGAAGCTCATCTGAAAAACTATCCCATTGGAGATATTTTCTTGTTGATTTAATTCTTTTATGTGTGTGCATGCGTGTGCATGCATGTGCATGTGTGTGCTCATGTGCAAGCCAGAAGTCAAACCAAATATTTTTCCCAACCGTTATCCACCGTAGTTTTGAGGCAAGGTCTCTCTCTAAGCCTGGCACTCTCTGATCCAGTTAGACTGACTGGCCGCAGGTTCCTGGGATCCTCTTGTTTCTACCTCTCCAGGGCTGGAATTAGAGAATCTTGCGATTGCTTGCAGCCTCTCCTCCCTCTCTCCTCCCCTCCACCCACTCGTTTTCCCTCCCTCCTCCCTCCCTTCTTCCCTCCCCTTCCTTTCTTTAACACAGGTGCTAAGGATTGAACTGGAGTACTCATGCTCACACGGGAATCACTTATTGACTGGGCTATGACTCCAGACCCCTTTCTGGCTGTTTTTATTATGAAAATAAAGATTCATAAAAAAACAAAATTGTATAATATAAAACCAACATCAGACAGGCGGTTGTGGGCCTTTAATCCTAGCACTTGGGAGGCAGAGGCAGGAGGATTTTTGTGAGTTCGAGGCCAGCCTGGTCTACAGAGTGAATTCCAGGACAGCCAGGATTACACAGAAAAACCCTGTCTAGAAAAACCAAAACTGAAACCACACAACCAAACAAACAAAACATCAAATTTTAAAGTCATTAAGATGAAATTTTAGCCCATTGTTTTATCTGCATTTTGTTGTCTACTGATATATTTTAATGCAATCTTGCCCCTCGTGTAAGAATATTATACATATACATTCATTGTGCACCTCAGAGAACATGGCCACATTCTTTCTTGACCACAATAAAATTATCAACCAAAAATAATGGCAATGATTCTTTGGCCCCATCTTTGTGTTTGCGTTGAGCTTTTATTGCTGGAACCGAAACCTAAGAGCAAACATTGAAAGGAAGAAAGGTGTTTTGGCTCGTGGTTTTACAGTCTTCACTCCGTGGTGGTCTGGCGGCTTTGTTGAGAGGCCTGTGGTATGGCAGAATACTATGGGAGGAGGGCCGGGTAGAGAGCAGTTGCCCATCTGTGCAGACAGAAGGCAAAAGAAGGGTGGAATCAGTGAACAGATAGAACCTTTAAAGACACATCCCAGTGACCTGCTAGAACCTTTAAAGGCACATCCCAGTGACCAGATAGAACCTTTAAAGGCACATCCCAGTGACCAGACAGACCTTTAAAGGCACATTCCAGTGACCAGACAGAACCTTTAAAGGCACATCCCAGTGACCTATTTCCTAAAACTCCATCAGCTCCCAATAACACCATCAAATGAAAAGCCCTTGAATGCATTAACTCACCGATGAAGTTAGACCCTTCATGATCCCATCACTTCCCAGAAGCCCCACGTCTGCTCGCTGCTGCATGGGTACTAAGCCTTCGACACACCGGCCTCTTCAGGTGGTTCTTTAGAGCCAAACCCAAGTGTCCGAATTCTCTTCTCAGTGTTCAGAACACTTTCTAGGCAGGTTTGTAGGTCTAAGCCTAGCCAACACTGTTTGGCGTCCCCTTCACAGGTCAGCTAGAGTTTCTGTCTGTCTCTTTGCTGCTCAACAGCCCCATTCACCCTCCTCTGAACCCTCATCATTTCTCCGAATCGCTCACGACGGGATGGAGGCTATTTGCTCTTCTTTGCCTGCCTGCTTCTTTTCTCTCTTAGTGATTATCCAGGCTCCTTGTAGGGAAAGTCCCAGTAATGTGGAGTCTTAATGGGAATTAGTGGCCACTTTTCTCTATAGAGTCTAGAGAAGTCTGTGCTAGGCTGGGGATGGTCACACAAATCAGACCCCTCCCGCTGGAAGCTTCATTTGGAGTCTTAGCAAGTCCTGGGGTCTGTTGGAGGGTCCCAACCTTCTAAGAAACAGTGGAAGGTAGCAGGAAGAATCCTGGTCAGAGCTGCACATTTGTTTCTCTGCTGGGCATTAAGTTTGCTTTCAGCATATTCTCAAGTCTGGCTTGCAGGCCAAAGTTGAAGAGCCGGGCTTTGCTTGGAGTAAATAGGAATCAGACCCACAGACATATCTACGAGACGAAAGAGAGTGTGGTTGTTGAGGTGAGCACATGGCCATACCTGTCGGTGCTAGCCCATCATTGGGTTTCAGGAACAGAGCAATGGACCATGAAGTTACGGGTCTGTGGTCGGCAGAAAAGGGCCCCACGAGGACGGTCCATGTCCTGGAACCTGGGCCTGCCTCCTCAAGATGGAAGGGACTTTGCAAGTGTTGGGTTGAGGATTCACAGTTGGTGGCGGGGAGTAATTCTGGAATATTCAGGGGAAGTCAACATAAGCACGGAAGTCCTAACAGTGACAACCCCCTTCTAATGAGGAAAGAGGAATAACCACGGAAGCAGGGTTTAAAAATGCTGCACTACTGACCCAAGGAATGTGTGCAGCCTTCACAAGCTGGGACCCTCCTCAAAGCCTAGAAGAAGAGACAGCCCTCCAGACAACCGGACTTTAGTGTATAGCTCAGTGACATTTCCAACCCACAGAACTCTAAATACATTTGTGTCACTGGGGGCTGGCTCTTGTGGCATACACCTTTAATCCCAGGACTTTAGTCAAGGCCAGACAGGGCTACATAGAGAGTTCCGGGTCAGTCAGAACTACACAGTGAGACTCTGTCTCAAAAATCAAACAACAAAAAAACTGTGTTGTTTTAAGATGTTAAGTTTGTGATAATGTGTTAAATCAGCAAAGAGGAAGCTAGCACAGTATCCAGTGGGGGAAGACATTGCTTTGATTGGCAGACCTACCAAGGTCACAATCCTGGAAAGCAGGCAGGATCCTATGGCAATCAGGTGGTATTAGCAAGTGAAGGAGAAAGGGCTGTGAAGACCAAGTGCCAACACTTGGGGTATAGAAATGAGCTGGACATGGATGCTGAGACCCAACAATTAGGGAAGACGAAGGAAGAAGGGCTGGAGAAGGAAGCCCAGAGCAATGCTCACAGATACTGAGATGCGCACAGACATACATCAGAAGTGTCTCTGCTGCTTAAATATTCTAAGTATTATCAAAAAGGAAACAGGGAAACTAGTGAGGGGGCGAATTCTCAGTAAAGAGGAAGTTAGCTCAGCCTAGTGCCTCAGCACCTAAACACACACCTGTTGCTCAATGACTTGAGAGTAGCCTTCTTAGACTCCATAGGGAAGCATCCTGAACCATCTTTGGGCAAGATGAGGCTTCATAGCGACTCATGACTGGTCAAAGTGCAAAGAATGAGTGTCTGTGGAATGCTTGGCAATAAATAGGATGCCGGTACCACATACCCCCCCTTGAGACTCCTAAGACTGGGCAGAAAGATTCTAAGGGTCAAAGGTTGGGGAGGGCTGAGGGTAAGCAGTGTCTTCTGGACATGATGGGGTTACTGCACCTGTGCACCCACAGGGGCTACGGTTGC